GAAGTTAGAGGAGGTCAGAAGATGCCGCCTCCGTGTCCTTTTTGCAGACATTTTAAAGAAATCTCTTGCAGAAGATTTGCCCGCTGCAAATGGCACTGATGGATGTGGGTGTTTCCCCGTCTGGCTAGCTCTCTTTCCTTTTATATGCTCCCTCTTCTCTCCCCCATCACACCACCTCCACGCCCCTTCTCCTCCCTGTCCCCCCACCGGGGCCTCACCTGTCACCAGCAGTTCCAGGGCATCACTGGGTGGGGACCAGACCCCTGGCTCCCACTCTTGCTTCCTGTAGCAACAGCGGTAACTCCCCCCCTGGGCCTGGGTCACTTCCTCCAGGAAGAACTCCGCCAGCTGTGCCGCCACATCCCGGAGCAGCACTGGGGTGATCTCTCCAGCCTTGAAGAGTGCGAACCTCCAGGCGGGCTGGGGTCGGGGAGCCCGGCACGTCAAGGTCACGTTGATCCCGGGAGTCACAACTGCACCTGGTTGAGCCCCCAGCCATGGCTTGGGGTATGAGGCTGGAGGGACTGAATAGATGGGGCTGCCTGGGTCCTAGGGCCTCCTATTAGCCCCAGGAGATGAAGGGGGGAGGCGGGGAAGGAGGAAGGTCACATGGAGCAATTATACTCCTTTCTCAGCCTCAGCTCTTTTGTAAAGTAGAAATGGGGCTGAACCACATCAGAGCCTCTCAAAACTAACTGCAAACAAGAGCAGCAGATACAAAATCCAATTCCAGCTACAAATTCCTGAGCTTTACCATCTTATTATCAAACTTTGGGTTGGGACCCAGAAATCTGTCATCATTGAAATTTTAAAACCCATGACTATACAGTATAACCTTATCATTTAAAATCTGTCATTTTAAATAGCACACTGAAGTATTCACAACATATTTAATATAGTTCGACAGCACAATTTGCTATTTGAAAGAAAAATAATGTTGGATCCCTACCTCACACCATTTCCCAAAACAAATTTCAAATGAGTGAAAGATTTCAAAGTTTCAACAAAAAAAAAACTATAGAAGTATTAGAAAATACATTTGTCTTGGGGTACAGAAGATCTTCTTAATATAAGAAATGAAAAATTCATAAGGCACCAGATTAATAAATAGAACCTGGCAGAAATCCTTTAGTCATAAACCAGGTTAAT